GGCCGCGGGGGCAGGAAGCTCCGCGACCCGCCGGGCTGAAGGGCCATGGCCCGGGGACTGGAAGTCTCTCAGCCTGTCAGCCCCGGCCGGCCGGGGGGGACAGCTGGCCCCAGAACCAGCCTCTCGCCCCGCAGCTCTCCCCTAGTTTATCTTAGTCTTACCGAGATGTCCAAGCAGTTCTGCTCCGGTCTGTTAGCTCATGCCTTCTCCTGAGACCTGGCAACATCCAAGCACACTACGTTCTAGTGCTGCCTGAGCTGTCTGTCCATCCCAAACACCTCCTGTACGTTGGGTCTCAGTGCGGTGACATGAGGACAGCCACATGTTCCCACACCATGCAGGGTATTCATCTTTGATCTAGCAACCAGGAAATCTAGGAATTGCTTTATATCTGTTGCACTTCCACAGGCACAGAGTAATGTCTCCTAGTGCTTTCTTACAAGAAACTATGTACTCTGTGCTGCCCACCATCCCTTGCTCCAGCATGTCACTATGAGGAACCTGGGAACCAGAGCTGGCCAGGTTTGTCCTCATGGATATGAGCCTCATATAGTTGTTCTCTTGTCCTGAGAATTCCTCCTTCCTTTTGAGAGAGATCCTGGAGCATGAAATGCTCTGTCCAAGTGGTGGGAGCAAGGGTGCCAATCAGTTTTGTTCTGAGTTTTCCTCGCTAAGACCAGCATTGCTCCTGCTCCAGTGGGAGCTACACTGGGGTCCGACTCGGCCTTTGTATCACCCTTGTCTGCTCACTCTATGCATGAACATCAGAGGAAACCTCTTGCAGGCAACCTGTGCTTCTAAGTCGGGGCTTGGTGATCGCTGATCTTAGGGCTTCCACCATATTTATTTTTTGGGTACAAGCACTGAGCTGCACACCTACAGCTGCTTTTCTGGTGGCTCCCAGAGGCTTTGGAAGGTGTACACAAAGGTAATTTTTCTTCATTTCCTGCTAGTTTAGTTCTAAGAGGAACATACATTAGAAATGATCAGGAAAAAACTGGTTTAATTCAGTTGCAGAAATTAATTCTCCATGTAAATAGATTTCACCTGCCTGATTCTACCTACAGTTACACCTAGTACAGTTATACAACTGTTAATGGATTCCTGTTAAATAGGCTGGGGGAAACTGTTCCCACACAGAGAAACAGGGACACAGATGTAATGAGTTTGCCAGGAATGTGCAGGAGTGCAGAACTTGAGCCCAGATCCCCATCATCAAAGTCCTGTACCTTGACTTTGAGACATTGGTTCTGCTCGCCACTGGTTTATGTATTCCCAAGGCATAGATTTTATGCATTGGGATACTGGTATACACTAGCTGGAGAATGTTCTTCTCATGCAAGGATACATTTAAGGGACAGAAATTGTACATGAAACAAAACATGGTTGGTGGACAATCTGTTGTCTCCTTCTTCCAAAAGAGAAGTCCTATTCATCCAGCTTTCCATATACTTAGGTTGAACCATCCCAGTGTAGTAAGAGCCTGTGAAGTTCCTGAGGAGATGAACTTTCTGGTTAACGATGTTCCTCTTCTGGCAATGGAATATTGTTCAGGGGGTGACCTCCGGAAGGTAATGGCTGCTTTGCTTTGCAACATGTAGCACCTTAATGCTGCTTCTGTATTTGTGGTTGTCTGTGAAACCATATGTGGTCTGTGGAGCTTTCCATTGTAGGTACAGCTGTGGGGATGGAAATGTAAAGTGGGGAATGAGGCTTTTGTTGAAACCGGAGAGGACTGAGAGCAATCCAAGGGCAGATACTCTTTTATCCTGAAGCTGTGTGTTCTTTCCTCGAGGTGCAATAGCATTAATCCAACCTCCTGCAGCCAGAATGTTTGCCTTTGCTGCAGTGTGTCTCTGGAGTCTGATAGGGCTTTGACTCCCATGTACCCAGGGTTGTATTGCTCTCAGCACAGGGAAGAATCCTTCTGGGGTCTCCAGGGCTTCAGAGACTTTCCTGC